AGGGTGGTGAAAACTTAAACGCAACATAACTTTTCTGTTTACCATGTCTCCACGTGCTAGTCACTACCTAGCCACATTTCCGTGAATAATTTACCCTATCTCCCTGTAGTCTCGCTTACTCTCGCCAGAGCCACTGCCAGGGCTACTCTGAACTAATCGGGTTTTATAATTTACAGAACACCTAAAAATAAAAGGTTCCGAACACATTAGTAGGGGTCTCTTTGTGACAAGATCTTTGTCTGGATACCAAAATTTTGACCATTTTACCTTGACTTTGGAGTTTAATTGACCTGCTTTTGAACAGTTGGTGTTAGTTAGGGCTTTAATATATCTCATGATTATTTCTAATGTCAATGCCTTCTCCTGGGTGCTTTTAATTTGACCTTGACCTGGAGTTTGACTCACATTTTATAAAGTTTAATCCTGGCTTTGAATGGTTGGTATAATTATCGAGAAATCTTTTCTTTGGATAACACATTTATCATCTCTTGACCTTGGAGTTTGACTTGCATTTGTGAAACTTTAATTTTTGCTAAAGGCTGCCATACGAGGGCATCTGTGTTCAGTGTTCAGAAACACATATTGTTTTAAAAACATGTACATGACTTCTAAATTAAGTTGGTACATGTTTGACAAATAATTCACTATCCCTCTTTAAAAAGTCTAAAGGAAAGGTTTTTTTCGTGTCTATAAATGTATCACAACTGTAAATGTTTACAGAATTTGTCAAAAGATAAAACAGTTAACATGACTGTAATACATGTATGCATTAATATAATGACAAGGTAAAAAAATATTTCTTTTAATTACTTACTATATTTAGATCATAACAAAATGAGAATAATGTTATATTTTATACCAGAATCCGGTATTATATGTGAGCAGAAGACACACACCATAAGTTGCCGTAATGGATTTCTGATCTACATGACCGATGCCAACTTTGGAAGAACGTCTAAAGAAACATGTCGGCATCCATACGACATTGAGCGTCTACACAACAACACGGACTGCCGAGCCCCAACATCGCTCAAAGTCATGAAGACGCTTTGTCATGGCCGTCAGAGCTGTACCATTACAGTGGAGAATGAGATGTTTGGGGCAGATCCGTGTTATGGCATCTACAAATACCTAGAGTTCGATTTCAAATGTGTCTCTCAAGGTAGGTTAAAGAACACTTTTAAAAAAGAAACTAGTCAGTTTTTTTGCTGTTGCACTCTTTGCTTTAACTTGATGAGATGAAATCAAGTTTGAAACATACCACATAGTTGATTTTAGGGTAATATTTCATCAAGATAAATGTATTTTACTTACAAACATATTGTCATCTATAGCCTATAATTTATTTCAAATAAAATGTTCTCTCAGTTGTGATGTGCATTTCATCAAGACAAATAATTCATCTATTATTTCAGATGAGATTAGTCTCAGCAACAGGAACACACCTGGTGTCTGCATCATAGGCTGTCTCCTGCTGGTGTACAAATTACTGAAGAATCCTTAAACACACACACACACACACACACACACACACACACACACAGAGAGAGAGAGAGAGAGAGAGAGAGAGAGAGAGAGAGAGAGAGAGAGAGAGAGAGAGAGAGAGAGAGAGAGAGAGAGAGAGAGAATCTATGAGAAAATTTTTGACTAACAACCATGTGGATGGTATTAAGGACTAAAACAATATAAAAGCATATCATTTGTATAGTTAACACTCTTCAATAAACAATTTAAATATAACTATAACATGTATAAAATGATTGTATATTTTAGAGCAATATTTAAACCTACAAGGTTTGTTTTAATTTTTGTTTTACATGCAAAAGAGACACTTTGTGCAAATTAATTTCCATTGATCTTCAGAAGATATTAGCAAAAGTTCTAAAGATCTCTCGTCTGAAAATAATATACGATAATGATAAGCATTTGCATTTGAAAAGGCAAAACAAATAATGTTATACAGTCATGTATATTTACGTCTCTCAGTGTGAATATTTGTTTTAATATATATTTGTGAACCCCTAAAGATTATCTTACAAAGCAAATTATTTATTTACATTTCAAAAAGATTAATGATCAAATGTTTACTCTTATATACAAGAGACTTTATAATAAGAGTTCTACAAACATTGATAAAGTGTTTTTTTTTTTATAGATATGCAATGATGGGTCTGTTAAGTGCAAAAGTTAATTTCTCTTCAAGTATGTAGTTGTGTGTTTATACACGTAATTGTACAAAAAAAATCAAGTAAAAAGTTTATGGACTGTGTACTTGTGAGTTTACTCTAATTAGTACTTACTGTGCATGAGCGTTCAAGGTCCGAAACGCTTTTAAAAAATCACCATCTCTTAAAATTGCATAAAGGAAAAAAACCCACATAAACAATCTGGTGGACTGGTCTTAATGTCTTGCAATGGGATTCAAATCCTCGACAAAATTATCATGATCAACTCATTATTTTGCGACTTTAGAGCAAAAGCGTTAATCACTTCGCCACGCGGGTGACAGGAAGGTCATTATTATGATGTATAAGGTCTTTATCCTTCTATTCTATTGCTTACATTTATTGAATATATTTTGATATCCCACAGTTGTGACGTCACAATAGATTGAATTGAAAAACAAATGAAAATGATATAGTAAAATGAACTAGATTCCTCTATGTACACAGCGTAAAACATTGTTAATGATGTACAAAACATGGGATAAAAAAATCTCATGATTTGTGGTTGGATATCATTTTCATTCAACCTGTTGTGTGTTTAAAGACTTGGAGATAGAAAACACACAACTCATTTGAGATATCCTATATACATTACACGCATATTCCCTTAAAACCTAGTATTCAATCCTTTTAAAACATTCGCTAAATGTTTAATCTTATGATTTTTACATGGCTATTTAACAATTTAAGATTCTAACAATGTATGTGTACATAATTTGGCGAAATCAAAATTTAGCTCAATCAAGGGAAATGAAGTTGTCCTTCATAAAATAGTATATCATTTTCATTAAAATATGAAGTCTGCTTTTTGAATCACACATAAAATATACATTGCAGGTACAAAACAACTTACTGACATGAAGGATGAGAAACGTTTGGCGTCTAAGACTCCGACTGTCACATGACGTCGTATGCATGTTGCTTTACCAAACCGATGCCTGAACAGGGCTGATTTTAATGAAGAACTATTTATAATTGACTTTTTTTGCAATAAATTCATTAAATTAAGGCAGGTTATAAGCGTTGTCGTTAGATCTTGCAGTGACGGGTGTCTCTTTGCGACGCTTGCTGCGCTCGCTATAAAAAAAGTAATCAATTTTCAATAAAAGTTCGATTAAGAGATTTTAAGTTCGGAAAATCCAATAAAATTTGCAAAAAATCCCGATGAATAAAGCAGGTGTATAGCTACACTATGATGCGTCACATTGAATGATTAAAGAGAGATCATATCAGTCTGTATGCTTAATCTTAGTACAGCGAATGCTTGTTTCTCATTTCACTTGAAACTAGAGGTACTGTGAGCAACAAGCTTACTAAATGGTACCTTCGCCTCCCATATGATTATAATGACAAAGGCAACAAGCTCACTAAATGATACCTTCTCCTCCCATATGATTATAATGACAAAGTCCCTGTTTTGCTCTTGGAGACCCGAAATAAGTGTCAGATCAAAAAGTAAAATAGGAGGTCACAATGGGATTATGTAATAAAGAATATGTGAAAGTATCATTAGAGAAGAAGATTTTTAAAATATGCTACTAAATTTTCATTAATTCCCAATTATCTCCCCTTGAATGAGGGCGTTGCCCTTCATTTGAACAAACTTGAATTCCCTTTGCCCAAGGATACTTTGTGGCAAGTTTGGTTGAAACTGGCCCAGCGGTTCTTGAGAAGAAGTCAAAAATGTGAAAAGTTTACAGACAGACAGACAGACAGACGGACAGACGGACGCCGGACAAAATGTGATCAGAAAAGCTCACTTAAGCCTTCGGCTCAGGTGAGCTAAAAAATGACAGTGTCAATGTTTTCTACTGGAAAACTCAAAATATGTGTAGATCAAAAAGTAAAATAGGAGGTCACAAGGGCACTATACAGCTATATTATACTTTCATGTAAATTACTTGAATCTGATTCGTCGAGAAACATTTGATAAAAAACACTACTACGCGCTGAATAATGAAGCCACGCCCTCCTGCGTAGCAACAGTCAACACTGCTTGAAGACGGGTGGTATTACAAAAAATAACGACTGCGCGGAATTTATGCGCGCACGGTTCACTGTAATATGTATTTGTATAAAACATTCAGTATAATATAATAAACATTGCATGTAGCTGAGTGTAACATTGAAAATTTTCACCCCAAGAAAACCATTGTCAACCGAGGCGCAGCTGAGGTTGACAATGGTTTTCTTGGGGTGAAAATTTTCAATGTTACACTCAACTACATGCAATATTTATATAAAACGCACTGTGTAAACTCACATGGCTTATCGCACAAATTAAGGTTACATTGTTATAATATAATACTGTGTACTGAGGCGACAAAATACATTTTAAAAGTATTTGTTACATTATTATGGAGTTTTATTTAATCTCCTAAAGCATAATTTACACATATCAATTGGTTGAACTTGGATATATTCATGGCTGAAAAATAACTATTCCCATTTGCTTGTCAAATGCAGCTATATCTTTTTATCCGTTCTTTTGAAAGCAGTAGCTCTTTCCAGAAAACCTAGACTCAGACACAATACAGCTACTGTAACTTGCATATTTTCTGTGCATTCTGACTCTTTATAGCGCAGGGTGATAAAAATATTTTTCATCTGTTTACTGCTTTGTATGTAAATAAGGTGGCATTTTTCATGGTCACCTTCTTAAATCTTTAATCATGAAACATTTATCACACTGCAAGATTTTAACGCTTCAAACCGTAAATGCAGAAGAATTTTTCTATTCATAGAAAGAATTTACTATTTAAAAAAATAAACAATACGTCATTATCATACCCTTTAGTGTGGCTTCTTTATTTAGTGTTTTCCATTTTCGCCGGTACATTTCGACAAAACCAAGAGGAGTATGGTAAATGAGCAAAGAATTTAAAAAACTACTCACCTTTAAAAAGAAAATTTGAAATTTTCAACTACATGGTGTCAAGGAAAGCTCGTTTTATACAATTTGTAAAAATTTATGGTAGAATCGTATAGTAGAAACATCGTACCATTTATTGATAAATTCCCCTTTCAAACACCCACTTTGGAAACTTGAGATAATAATTTTAAAGGACATTTATATTTGACATTACATATGTAATATAACATAGGGCTATGTCATCGTACTGACGTTCGAAAATTGTAATTTTTATTACAAAAATGTTACTTTAATTTGTGCGAAAAACAATGTGAGCTAAAAAAGTGCGTTGAGCTGTATAACAAAGATTCTTTGAACGTCTCATAAAATTTCATTCAGTGGTATGAGAGGAGTTGCGGATAAGAGATAGGTACCCCAAAGTGTAACAGACATACGGACGTACAGACAGACGGATGGACGTACAGCTAGACGGACGGACGGACATACCGATTACTTTATACCCTCCCGCTTTTCAAGCGAGGGGTATAATAAAGATAGAATAGTCTAGTGCTGAAGTACTTATAATGCCAATTTCCTGCAGTTCATTCTTTTCCTTATGCGTCATATCCAGAACTTTGAAAATATCTTATATAAATTGAAAACAATTATCATAAAACACCTGTTCTGAAAGCGTTTCATCCAAGAAAATGTTAGTGTGAATTTTGTTTTTGAGAAAGATAACCTTATGGAAGAAAAATTAAATGTTGAGAAAAAAATTAAAAATATGAAAAAGATAAAAAAAAGAAAAGAATAATTATCTTATTCCTGCAGTTGTTGCACAACATTTTGGTTTCATGTAACATGGAGATAACGACGAGTAATGCTATCTTCCCACTACCACGATTTGCGCCACGATTGAAATCGGGGACACGAACGTGGATGAATTGTAGTGATCTTATCAAACTGAAACAAATCTTGTGTTCACTTGTGGCTATGGTGTTGATTGTAAAATTTTTTTAACTGTCAAAATTTTTTTCTACAATTAACTCGATTAGATTTTAATTGTTATCATTGCATCAAACCGCATTGCAGCGAAAGTCTTATGAAAATAGTGATAAATATCATAAGAACAACACAAATCTGAATTGTAAAATATTTTTCAATGTAACAGATGTGATAGACCATCATCCGAATGACTGGTATCCTTGTCCTGGTTAAAACCCACAACGCGAAGATCAACTGCTACACCGGAACTTTAAAGCAACGCTCTAACCATCGCGCCACGAAGAGCACCATAATGTAAATGTAGAATATGACAGATTTTTAAACAAAATGAATTTTCTTTTTATGTATAAAAATTATTTTTAACAATTAAAAATACATGTTCTTATCAACGCTGTTTTGTATCAGATACCTAAACAGCATGGTACGCTGTACTTGGGTTGTAACAAATGATCAATAGTAATCTACATGTTTTAGGTGACACCACGTTCCACAATGGCAATTTAAATAGAATTTTTTTTTTTTTAAAAATCTATGTGATTAAGTTGTTATTTTAAAACTGTGTAAATAACAAAAAAGAAGGTTTAGCTTTATTGTGCCCTAAAACTTGTTTTTAACAAGCTCTAAGTTTTCTTAAACAAAATATTGGCTGTAAAATGGATAAAAATTTGGAAATGAAAAAAAAAGAATTAGGAAACTGACATTTTTTCTGACGTTTCTGTGACTTTTGAGTATCCCATAACTAAGAACCAAAACTAATTTTGTGTCAGGGGCGACTACCTGTTTTTATTGATAAACTTGTATTGTTAAAAAATGGGGTTTAGCCTATTTTATCCTTTACTATCATTTGATCAAAATAGATTCAAAAACAGCTGTCCAATCTAAAAAAAAAAATCGGAACTAACAACATAATCAAAGTTCCAAACATGTAAAATTCCTCTTTTCATTTCCTTCTTTAACCATCTTCGTGAATTTTGGGGATTATTCTAGTATGTTCTATGTTCACAGAGTTACTTTCATCATAACTTAATGATAAGATGAACCTGTTTTTCTTCTGTTGGTTATTGTTTCAAATACGTAAGTTATCACAATTAATTGTATCATTTCTGTATAATTATCTTGGATCTGGTAAAGGTAAATGTTGATATGTTTATTTAAATAAATATACTTAATTGTGAACATTTAGGCTACGGATGTAATGGAAAAAATGAAACAAAGAACATCTCAGGTATCACGGGAAGTTTAACTTCTCCCGGTTACCCTGGTAACTATCCAAACAATGTCAATTACACCTGGATTCTGAATACTGGACACAAAAGCACAACCGTTAACTTTACGTTTGATGTTTTTGATCTTGAAGCAAACTGGTTCTTCTCCTGCAGTGATTTCTTGGAGGTAAGATATCTGTATGTATACGTCGACTCATTTGTTGAAATAAATCACTTAGTAACCTTTGTCCAATTCAATAAGACTTTGAATATATTTAAATTTATCAGTTAATGTTATAAAAAAAACTATCATTGTAATAGATAGAGGATTTTAATATGATTTGTGGAATTTATCAATCAAGACCTCTCCACAGTCACCATTGAATTTATTTATTTTTATGGTTTTGTATTCGAATATTTTTTGAAAATTTATTTCTACTTTGATAGGAATTGAATTCACTTTTAATGCAAATCTTATAAATGATGCTTGAATTTCAGTTTTCTTAATTCTAACGAGTTTAAAAAAGATATCAACTCTTTTTTAATTTAAATGCATGAGTATTTGTTTATTAAGGTTATCAAAATCCCAGAGTTTGTTAATGATGCAGTTGTACACCTTTAAAATCAATCAGATAACAGAAATGGATCCATGTTGTTATACCGCCATGCGCAGATGTGGTCAGCGCAACCCCTTTTCCCAATTAGTGAGAGGTAGACTTATAAGAATCACATTTGTCTCTGATGGAATTGACACAGCCAAAGGATTTAGTCTAACATGGATAGGTAAATGATGACGTTAAATCTTAACATATTTTTGGACATTAGTTTATTACAGGATCATCATCAATACACGTTGTAATGAAATTAATTCTATTTATAAATCCATTCTATGACAAGTCTTAAATTGGCATAACTGTCTAGGATGAAGAAATATTAATAAATAAAGCACGGAGAAATTCATTTTAAATAGAGAAACCCATTTTCACCCAAGGTTCGGGGTTTAACTCTAGACTTGTTGGATCTGTCTGAAATATATAATTTCAGCAACGACAATTTTAAGAGAATAATTAAGATTTTATCCAAATTAATTTTTTCCTTAAAATAGCAACTTTGGTGTCAAATCTAAACAGAACCTTGTCGTCAATGACAATAGGGACAGCAATACAGGACAAATTAGTTTCAGACTCCTATGTGTTCAATTCGAAAAATAAAGATCGGCCCGCGGCAGTTATTACCAAGAATCTGGCAAACAGCAAGATGGCAACAGTAATGAGTTCAGGTTTATTTTTAATCTTAATTTTTTATTTATTGACTTGTTAACTTTCTTAATATAAAAATGAAAGTTACATTTTACGAGACATTGAATTACTTATTGTAAACACTTCGAGGTATTTGTTTATAACAGTTTTGTCCATGTTATAAAAAACATCAACAACATAAAAACAATAACAACAACAAAGAATAAAATAATAAATTGTTTCATTCTTTTTCCTCCAAAAATATAATATGCAACAATAATATACTGTGAAATCACAAATTTTCGTGGGCGTTTAAATTTTGTTGTTTTCGGGGTATAAGCAGACTCACTAATTGTAAAATATTACATACATAACTACTCAGCAATTCTTCATCCACGAATTCAAATCCTCACGTACCAAGAGTTTTTAATCAAAACATCAAAATTTGATCCCACGAAAATATATGATTTTTCAGTACTGGTATAGATGTATCCCTTTGACTCGATCATGTACCGGATGACAATAAAGAATATTAAAATGGGTAATATGTTATTTAATATCATATCATTTAAAGTAAATAATTCAGAATTTATAATAGCACGATGGACAAACATTTCTGAAAACAGACACAAGTTAAAACAGTAGCTTAGCTAGGATGCACTGCATATCACGAAAGGACTTTTTTGTTATATATAAGCAACGAGGCTTCGGATAGTCATATTAATGTTTCAATTCAAAATGGGAGATAAACATGCTACCTAATGTAAATTAAATTTTGAAATTCAGAAAGGTGATGTACTAACCTTTATATTTAAAATACTAGAAATATATACAAAGATATAAGTCTTTGCTGCGTTTTATAAAGATTGAGAGACTAAACATTAAGATTATTTTTTCAATACAATATCCGACTTATATACTAATATTGAACTCATATGCACATAGCATTATTCTTTTTCGTTTCATTTTTATACAGGATATGACAGCAATAATTTCACGTCTGCTGATTTATTTACGATATTTCCACAAGAATTAAATAAGAATATACATTTCTATTCCAAATAAATGATGTATTTATAAAATAATCAGAAGTGAAAGATTTCTTAAATATACATTCGTATATTCTTTCATGCAAAGAATGAAATACTTATAAGAAACTTGTGTAAGAATGCTTTCGCTACTAATATTCACTTTCGTATTTACAGTATAGAAAGATTTAGATTCGACCCTTCTATGTACACTTTTGACACTATTCTCTTTGATTTGTTTTTTCTTTCTTTCTTTTTCTTTCTTCCGGATACACAAGAGCATGTTCTACGTCCAACTAATCACCTAAACTGGGCCTCATTTTTATAAGATGAAGATTTCGGTAATATCATCCAATTGTAAAAGATATATTTTATTCTAAAATAATTCTTACTTTCAGACGGATATTTATCCATTCTTCAACTAATATTGAATGGATTTTTCATTATTACCATAGCTTTTCTAGGAATGAAATCACCTAAACTGGGCATCATTTTTATAAGATGAAGATTTCGGTAATATCATCCAATTTTAAAAGATATATTTTATTCTAAAATAATTCTTTCTTTCAGATGGATATTTATCCATTCTTCAACTAATATTGAATGGATTTTTCATTATTACCATAGCTTTTCTAGGAATGAAATCACCTAAACTGGGCATCATTTTTATAACATGAAGATTTTGGTAATATCATCCAATTGTAAAAGATAAATTTTATTCTAAAATAATTCTTACTTTCAGATGGATATTTATCCATTCTTCAACTGATATTGAATGGATTTTTCATTATTACCATAGCTTTTCTAGGAATGAAATTAAAGAAAATGATGTGAGTAGTTAAAAAAATGTCTCTTGTAAGTTTATCGTGATATTTTATTCATTATTTCTGTTTTACGGAAAACTAACGTTCTGATTTTTATTTGCTTTGTAAGGATTCTTGAACTAATCAAATACATGTGACATCAATATCTGTTGCAGCCATCAGCGCCGGGCAACTCCGCACGTATACACTAATGCTACTGAAATATCAATTCAAGAAAGTGGACATTACCTTGAATGCAAAGCGAATGTTTCACAGACAAAAGTTAAAGTCAAGACTAGTGAAGAGTCTTCAGTTGATTATCTTGAACCTTTGTATGATATCGTCATTTAATCTTAGATGTTTTAACTGACACACATTTGTAACGCATTTACAGTTAATCAAAGGGATCGTATCTGGTCATTTCCAGGGTTTGGGGGTGTTCAACATAGAATGATTGGAAACAATAGGCATGATTTAAATGGACTGCCGAAATATACAAATATGTCCTAACCTTATCTAGGTAAATTAAAATAAACTGTAAATCACTATAGCAATCGAAGGTAATCAACAATTAAATGGGGAGTTCAAACCTAACATTTAGATGCCCAGTCGCCCTCGGACTACTGTATATACTGTAGGATGCCTTATTCAGGACAGACAGTATATGTGATAGCCCTTTAACCACTACACTCATTGTAAGATGCCTTATTCAGGACTCACAATGAGTATAGCAGCCTGGACATAACAAACTATGGCTAGCCTCTATGTTGGAGGTCAACCAAGTTTGTCGCAGGCCTTAACTGGGTTGGCCTTCCAAATTCACTCTCTAACTGTAAAACAAGCGAGAAATATAACACCCAAATACATCATTCACGACACTCGCCTTCTAACCTTGGCTGCGTCCGACGAACTCTGATCAATGCGGAGTCTCGGTATTTATACACAATTAAAGTCACGTGACGTGAACAGAGACTAATAGAGAACTATGCATGGTCAAACCTGAAAATTCCGAAATCATTAAACATTTTTATAACTAAAGATACAAAAGGTACTAGATTAATTCAGAAAATGTATTAAAGGTAAAGTACATTCTTCCTTTTCAAAAAAAAATTAATATACAAACCCTAACCAGTAGAGTTTCATAAAATAAATAAAGCATCGATTTCTGTAGCTGATATTAGCTCCGGCCATCTCCGCACGTATACACCTTTTCCCTTTTGTGTATTGTATTTTGTGACTTCAGATATTTAATTCATTTTCTTCCCTTATTTAGTTCAATTTCATATCTGTTGTCTTAAACCCCGATTTATTCGATCCTGTATATACACACTGAATTGACGACGGATTTTCCCGTTATCAAGATTATTTATCCAGACATCCTATACATATACACACTGAATTGTTGACGGATTATTTTTGGATCAAGACAAGGAGCATGTGGCGGATGTGAGCGGTCTTCAGCGGATGCTCACTCCTCCATTGCACCTGATCCCACCTCTGATGTTTTAGACGTTTGTGTATGTCCTGATCCTATTTTGTATAGTTTATATTGTGTTTGTATTGTTTATGAGACTTTTGAGCTTGATCACTTGGTTTTCTCCAGATTTTTCATCTTAAAGTAGGCGCTCTGAATACGGACAATTTTTAACCAAGGCAAGCTACTGACAAATTAATTGATTAAACAATGATTTTAAGAACTTGATTTTTAAGAACTTGTTTTCGATATATCCCATACAAATGTATAGGATTTTCACTTTATAAAAAAACCGATGTACTATATGTAGAATTGTCGTATTGCAATCAAATTAATTTCCCTTTCATTGTGAATAAAATAATGAAGAATTTTAACTATTGATTGCAAATTTCAATCGAATGCATTGTTTCAACTAAATAGAAATTCCTGTTTCAAACTCTTTCCTCAACGTTTGGGAGAATTTCCTATGATGGGTTAAAATTTTACACACAAAACCTTTTTGTTATACTGAAAATAATAATTGGTTAACTAGAAAATGTACATTATCAAAACGCATTGGACAAGGATGTCCCGTCTTAGCACTAAGCATGCCTCTTTGAAATCCTGGTGTTAAAAATAAATGCTTCGAAAAATATACACGGTTTATCATATCATATATTCTATTAATTTATGTTTAATCTACTATGTTACTAATGTTATTTTGTACAGCTTCTGAAGAAGGAACGAGAATGAAAGGTCAGAATGAAAGGTCTAAAGCTTTGCTGAGGGTTTCTGTATGTTTCTTCATTATTCTAAGTATATTTTATTCCGACCACTGATACTTTTTTCTGGTGTATATAATTCTGTGGTTAAATATTGAATTTAAAAAAATACCGACCCAGGGAGCTCCTGGCAATCAAGGTGAGGTATTACTAGAGGGCTTCTGTGGAAGTTTTGCCTCGATATCTTGTTTTGTCATTGAGAATATAAATAAAATTTTATACAAGATCCTCTCTCAGACTTAAATACATGTAGCATAATCTCAGCTGTTTCCTAAAGATGTCCTTGTTCAAAGTTATCTTTTATATTTCCCTCATTTGATTTACATCGTTCAAAAATACATGTAACTTTACCAGGAAAAAATATTTTTACATATTATATCATTTAAACAGCCGGAATTATTAGATCAAAATAAAATATCATACGTGTAAAGCTTATTATTGGAGTTTTAATGTAGATCTAATAAAAATTCCGCAAAAAAAAGGGTAGTAGAATACTGTAAAATCACATATTTTCGTGGTTTGAGAAAAAACTCTTTGTTCGTCGGGTTTTGATTTGGATATAGAATTGTTGAGTAGTTATGTATGTCACATTTTACATTCCGTGGTGGACATGAATTTGTGGCTCTCTTCACACCACGAAAAGAACGAAATTAAACCCCCACGAAAATTTTTGATTTCACACTATGAGCTGTTTACTGGAAAACAAAAGATTGGGCTTACTTTACACTGTTTTTTTTGTTGTTGTTGTTGTTGTTGTTGCTGAGTATCAATGAAAGATTTTATCAATTAAAATTAACAAAATTCAGAATTCACTTACAAGTGCTGTTCGAAAATGATAAAGTAACCCATTGTATACATTTTTCTCTCTAATAGACGTATTTCTGTTGAAGTTGGCAGATACCTTTAACAAGCATAAGCAATGAAAAAACAAGACATGTCAAAGAATTTCTTTTCATTAATCATTAGAAAAATGTATTTAATTTCAAAAAATATATTTTCACTTTAATTCGCACAAGAGTTTTAATTAAAGGTACATAAATTTTAAAACCATTCTTGAAAAGAATAAAAAACACTTCGATTGTTCGATCTTAAAGTTCAAAAATTGCAAATTGTCAATTATTTAATTTGTGATTTTAGACCTCAAAATACGCAACACTCAGGGACATTCTTCAGTGAGTTATACCTGACCTCCATTTTACACGGTCTGATCCAAGGGAGATTACTGCCCGAGACGTATGGATCAACTTTTCCGAGAGCAAACGCTATAATCACTGCGTAATGCCTAGGACACATTTCCCGGCCGGTGGCAGTAGACCGGTTGTAATCGGTGGTAATCCGTGGTGTGAGCGATGCCTAAACATCGGTCCACATCGGACTAGTAGTCCTTAAAGTATAAGTCACATTATCCAGTGATGGGCTATACGATGGGCAACCAATGCGATTTTTAATAAAAATGGCGTGGTTGCCGGCCAGACTTAAGTATAAGTATATTATCCAGCGATGGGGTATACTATGAGAAACCGATGCGTTTTTAGATGAAAATGGCGTGGTTGCCGGCCGGGCAACACTAATGATCGGACGGTGTCTGAGGCAATTTTGCGAATTTTGGGTTCATCGGTAGAAAATAATTCTTAGTTAAAATTCAGCGATGTCTCTAACGATGCCTCACATCGCTCCTCATCGGCAATCCATCATTAACAAATCTTTCAAGGAACGGCCGATGTATGGCAGAGCATCGTCCAATATCCGTTGAATCTGAGGTCATCGGGGGGTTGAGTGGTGGGCAACAGACAACGGCCGATCATCGGTCGATGTTCGATCAAACATTGGACCGTAGTCGACCGATGTACGAACGATGTTCACCAATGTATTAGCGATGTAATATACATCGGCCGATTATCCTGGAACATCGTTTTATGATTAGCAATGCATCGCTGGGCCCTTGTAAAGTATCAGTCACATTATCAAGCGATGGGGTATACGATGAGAAACCGATGCGTTTTTTGATGAAAATGGCGTGGTTGCCGGCCGGACACCACAAGTGATCGGACGCTGACTGATGCCATTTTGCGAATCGGTGGGGTCATCAGTAAGAAATAATTCGTAGTTAAAATTCAACGATGTCTCCAACGATGCCTCACATCGCTCCTCATCGGCAACCCATCATTAACACATCTTTCAAGGATCGGCTGATGTATGGCCGAGCATCGTCCAATATCCGTTGAATCTGAGGTCATCGGAGGGTTGCGTAGTGTTCAACAGATAACTGCCGATCATCGGCCGATGTTCGAGGAAACACTGGCCCGTAGTCGACCGATGTACGATCGATGTTCACTAATTTATGAGCGATGTAATATACATCAGCCGATTATCCTGGAACATCGTTTTATGATTAGCAATGCATCGCTGGGCCTTTGTAAGTCCGACCGGCAACCATGCCATTTTTATTATAAAACGCATTGGTTGCCCATCGTATACCCAGCGCTGGATAATGTGACTGATATTTTAAGGACTACTAGGCCGATGTGGACCGATGTTGGGGCATCGTTAACACCACGGACTACCACCGATTACCACTGGTCTACGGCTACCGGCCGGGAAATGTGACCTAGGCATAAGTGATTTTTAAAGCCGACAAGCGGGCATGCAGAAACTTTTAAGAAGCGCTAATTCCCTTCCCGAAAACTAAAAAAAAAAAAAAATAAAACCCAGAAAAAAATGCAGACACAAAAAACAATGCACTGGAATCATGTCTTGGGATTCCGATTATCATCGGCATCACTTTCTACTCATGAAATTGATTATTCATAAATAATAAAAACAAAGGCACAATACATATGTCCACATTAATTTTCAATTTAGTGCAATTTGCATCCACACAAAAAAGCAATAAACTAATCAGTGACATCTGTATCATTTGAAGTTACCTCAGCATGATGCAAGACAACTGACATTTCATGGCAATATGGCATTTTGATAGCAACAACACTAACAATTTTAATGGATACTAGTATTTTGCGAAAAGACGAATGTTCATTTTAAAATTGAGAACTGAACGCATCATCTATATTTCGGAGGTCTCAGTTTGCTCTGCTCCTACTTTGTATTGTTTTATGGGCTTTTGATATTGAATACTGTTCGTTATCTCCGTATTTTTCAGGTAAATATTTCCAGTTCTCTTTGTTTTCTCTGTGATAACTCTTTTTATGTTTGTTGAGTTGTTTTCCTGATCATTCAACTGGAGTGTACATTTCGCCAAGGAATAGGACAAACTTAAGCTAAAGAGGCCTAATATGCTTGTAAATATCGTGTGACTGTCTTTGGTTTTGGCATTAGTGGGCGGGGTCTATTGAAATTGAGATGGGAGGCCTCGTGTAATATACATCAATTATTAGTCTACAATTTAAAAATATTAATTTTTAAAATCTTTCATATTAAACTCGCGTCAATGATTCGTTAATTTCTAGCTGATAAGGTAATGTTTAAATAGACGCGCTTTGGAAATCGTGTTTGGGGTCTTAGCCAGGTATACAGCTTGTACATTTTTTATGCACTGTTTTCTTATCAAATGCATGGGAAATGTTTAAGAGTTCATACAGCTAATATTTTGCTGACTGATTTTTAATAACTATCAATGATGTTCACTGAAAATCTTTATCTTTAGGCCATCGGAATACAAAACGGAGCATGACAGTGCTAAAGGAGACATTGATGGTAAAAGAATCATTCAAGTGCAAACTGATTCATTTCAGAATATGTTCATACCATTTAATATTATATCAAAATGTTAAGCACTGAAAAAGTATGCATTGAAGTACTTTTAATCTGCCTTTTTGAAAGTCATTTTTGTCTTGGTAACCAGTAGATCATTGCATTTTTGACTACAATGTATTTCTTCAGAAAAACTTTCCATGTGAACCTTTATCTAATTTTGCTTTCATTTTTTTTTCCAATAAAAGTCTTCATGATGGATATAATTTTCTGACATTATGAAGATCAAAAGCCACAATTTCTGTTCCTAACTTCACAACTCATTACACGGGGGAAACGTGGTTTTCAGGAACTTGAATTTTCCAATTGAAATAACCAATCTGCATGTATTACCAACATACAAACAAATACTCAAAATGTAAAAAAAGTTTTCCCCTATATTTTCATTGAAAAGAACATATTTGTTTGTCCCTTTCGAAGATTTTCCCTCATATTGAGATACCACTATCTGACAATGGAGGACTGCAAATATTAAGTTTTTCTCAGCATTTAAGGCCATTGAATAGTCAGGATTTTTTTATTACCAGCACCTACTTCGACATACTACCTCAATTTATAGGGTCTCCTTTGATGGAGGTCTTCACGCCTTGCACTGGGATTCAAATCCGCGACTTAATTGTCAACACCTTATTTCGCGACTCCATAGAGCAAACGCTCTAACCACTACGCCAAGCGGGTAACATTTTGTTCATTTTATAATGTATCATATACTTTTGTTCCATGTTTACCTTCTATTCCGTGGATATCACCAATTGAATATTTTTTGATATTCCACAGTTTTGACGACACAATAGATTCTGCATAAAAAGTAATGAAGTAAAATAAAACAGATTCCTATATGAACACAAGGTAAAGCATTGTTAATGATGTATAAAACATCGGATTCAAAATTTTCCGATGAATTGTGGTCGGATATTATTATTATTCAACCCACGCCACTCGTTTGATTAAATTCATAGGATATTCTATGCACATCCCATGCATATTGCATCTTTCAGTCCTTTTGAAACACCACCTAACTGTTCTACATGGCTAGCAACCAATTTCAGATTGTAATACTGCACGTATACATATTTGGCGTATTCAAAATTAGTGCAACCAATGGATAGGGAGTTTTTGGTGTGATCATGAACTTGCACTACACTTGATCTTCATTTATTACCATATCATCGGCTGCGCCAAACCCGCTGAAATATCAATCTCGTCTTTTAAATTACACACATGTACATCAATCTTGACAATACGAGTTCAAAACAATTTACTGACATGAAGGATGAATAATGTTTCGCAGGTACATAAAAAAACTGTTATTGTTCGAATATGTATTATTATTGTGTTGCACCTTTCTTCAGACTATCCCTATAATTTGCAAAATAAAACTAATGTCAAATGTTGTTTATTGTTGCTGCTTCTTTATCATACATCTATTTAAAAACATTTTCTTCTTGTGGGTATGCAAACAATTTCAGGTGATACAACAAAAGACCTGTACTTGGAAACAATGACCATTAAGCAGAAATTCGTTTTTGCTAGCATTTATGTCATTGATGAGAAGTAATATACATCAAATAAAGAACTAGTGAATGGTTTCCCAACTACATGCATAATTTAATATTTGAATGTTTTGGGAGATGGATGGTTCTATTACAAATCTTAATTTATGCCGTTACTTTTGAGGTAATTCTGTAGTTCTATATATCTATATGCACAGATTCTGTTTTTACAATTCGAACCAACCCAGAGAAGTTGATTTCTGTAATCATAGCTCAGGCTTCATGGTGTTTCTACTCCTTGTTTCGATGTCTGCAGCAAAAAACAATAGTTGCCGTCTTTGTCAATCAGATGAATTTGGAAAGTGTGACGATCAGACACAAGGATATTGGAGAGAGAGTCCGTGCAGATTCCTTGTGGTAATAGTCGTGATCCAGAGGGAGGACCAGTGTAAGAGAATCGATATTGCCCGCCTTTATCTGTCACCACCACTCCGTAGTCGTAATCAGAGACAACGATGTCTCCATTACTATTCTCAGTTATACAGACAGGTCGGCTGTACAGCTTCTTTCCTTTGCTCTGGTATTGGATAGTCTGGATGTGGTCTCCCGTACTCGTCATCCGAGTAACTTTGGCTTTTGTGTAATCACAGACATCTTCATTCCGCTTCCTCATCAAAAGTAACAAGTCTTCGGTTAGAAGTGAGCTGTGTAGGCACCATGGTCTCCATGGTTCCGATGTTTTAAGTAATGTACTCACTGTGTTATCTGTTGAATATACTTTTTTAATATTATAAAACTTGTCTATATAAATCAAATCACCTATCTTGGTTGCTGCATGAGCCTGCCTACCACTTTCTATATCGCTCAGCTGATGTAAGATTTCACACTTGAAGTTTATGAAAACGAGACTGTTATTGTCACTGACACAAAGCTGATTTGACGAAAGGCAGGAAATGTGGTAACCACGGCTAATACCTTTAACTGGGAAAATTTTCCGTAAGACAGCTGTTTCACTAAGTTTAAAAAGCTGCTCGTTTCCTATTTGTCTTTTCTTAGAGCCTGGAACTTTTATGTCGAGCAATAAACCAATAACGTCTCCTCGACTGATTTTGTCAGAAAAGGATACTTCTTTGATTTTTTCTGAAAAGCTTTTGAATTTGAATAAACTATGTTTCTTGAAGACTAGGAGGAATTGCACTGGTCTGTTCATTAAAAGTCCACAACTGTTCTCCATTTTGTGGAAAGAAGGACTATTTATTGATGTATTTTGCTGTGATTTACCAAGTGAACACTGCATAATTACTTCGGATAACACCATATCTATCTGATTCTTTAGTGCTTCAGCCTTAATGATCATATCTTTGCAGATGTAGAAAATATCCCTCTTACAGACAGCCTTCTCTCTACTAATTATGGGATTTCTTCCTACTAATATAGCCTCACAATTTGGGAGCACACCACTTCTGATATGAATTATCCTCTCCCCATAGTGTTGTCTTAGCAAATTAAAGGCTGTCTCGAGGAGATCGTGTGTCCAGTGTCCTTTACATTTCAAACAAACTGGAATACTACACGACAAGCACCACATTTCATATATAAAACCTGGGTGTATCTTGCATACTTCGTCTTCGTTTTTTTCTCCAAAATGTTCTTGATGAACGATGACATCATGATGTCTAGTGTCAAGATCTACGACATGAACCGCTCTGCACTGAACACAGAGTCCTTGATCACAGGTTGTACAGTAATAATCTTTATGTTGATGGGAACACTTTAACACAAGGTCTAAACGTATAACATCATGGGTTCTAGTATTCTGCATTACCAAGTGTTCATCTTTGCATGATTCACAGAGACACAAGTCACAATTGTTGCAGAAATAATCTTTTCTTTGATGAATACACTGATATAGATCTCTAAATTTTATAACACGATGGGATGAGGTAAAGTGTCCCCTGAGATGTTTGGTTGAACAATGGCTACAGAGACCCCGGTCACATGTTTTGCAATAAAACTCTATGTCTCCATGAATGCACTTAAACAAGTCTTCACACCGGACAACTTCATGAGGTTCTGCGTTTATGTTAACAACATGCTCTAATTTACAAGGTATGCACAATCCTTTGTCACAAGTTCTACAAAAATAATCTTTCCTTTCATGATTACATTGAAAAGACTGATTTTCTTCTTCAGATGGAACTATGTCATGTGATCTAGTGAATTGACAAATAGCGTGGTTCTTTTTACACGTGATACACATTTTTCGGTCACATGTATTGCAGAAATATTTCTGGTTCTGGTGAGCACATTTAAACAAATCTTCAAGCCGTATAACAAAATGAGAGTTTATGTTATATTCTCTGTCATGGCTCTCTCTACATTCATCACACAAACTCTGATCGCATGTATTACAATAAGAATCCTTAACTGGATGTGTACACAACGATCTTTCTATTCGTATAACATTATGGAGTTGTTTGTCCACGGCATGTATGACTTTACACAAAGAGCAGATACCTCGGTCGCAGACATTGCAGTAGTATTCTTTTTCCAGATGAGAACACTCTTCCTCTTCCAATTTAAGAATTTTATGACTCTCCGTATTTATGTCTATACTGTGTCTTAATCTACAATAATTGCACAGGCCTTTCTCACACACAACGCAGAAATATTTCAAGTTTTGATGCTCACATGTTATTACATGGCGTCGAGTTGTCAAGTCATTCCCCATGGCAGAAAATATTCTACAATAAAGAGAAAAAAAAAGAATCAAGACATGTTGATTTTTCCGGGGTGTTTTATTTTTATAATTAATGTAGTATTTAGCCTCATTTGTATGCAAAACAATGCTAAAAATTAATTATTATTTTACACTATCAAGAGAAATAATAATAATAATGAAAGAAAAGTTTAAAACGGATAAATTCCTTTGACATGACTTTTCTTTGGGTACTAAAATGTGATCTTGTGACCTTCTAGTTCTCCCCACTTTCACAAAAAATTAACACACTTTAACTTGACCATAATATTTTGTGCTAGGGCTTTCATACTTCACACGTGCTTTGATCTTTAACACAGTTAAAACCATGTTGGTTTGGAGTTAAGAACTTTAATTTCAAACCTTACACGAGGGCCACAAGAGAGTGACGAAGTAGGTTATTTTCCCATATTTCCCCAATTCTGGTGGTCAAATCTGTGACACTTTAAAACCTTCAATATTAGCTAACCTACGGGGACATCATTGTTTCACAAAGACACATTGTTAATAAATGTATTACCAGTCAAATACATTCCTGTAGATGTAAAATTATAATAACTGCTACATGTAAGTCCTAAAAAGTATTTCTGCACCCTTTTGTTGCCTTCGTATTTTCTGGTCTTTAGTATACACTAAAAGTACCTAACGACTTTAAAGACAACGGTAAACGACCTAAATGCCTCACCTAGTTTAAATCAACGAAAATTTTATCAACTTTCGAGGTGTTTCCATCAAAATGTTCATATAAATTGGCTTTTTGGTAGAAAAATCTATCATTTCTGATACAGCAACAGTTTGAAAATAATTTACGAAAAACTATCAAATTGTCATTTAAAATTCTCAAATGAGATTCAAATTTTAGAAACCCAATAAAATTAACAATAAAAAAGGATGAAAAGAGCAGATGTATAGATGTACTTTGATACCTCCCATTGGAAAAGTTTTAATATTCAAGTGTGGCGGATGTTTGCTTTTCATTTGAAGATAGTATAGTGCTGAAATAATAAAAGTACCAATTTCCTGCATTCATTTCCTTATACGACATATCCAGAACTTTTACAATATTTTAGATAAATTGGAATCAATAATCATAAAACACCTGGTTTAAGGTCTCCCATCCAAAAATCTTTTTAAATTAATTAATCGTGTTAACATAATTGGTTTTAAAAGAAAACTTTATGGAAGAAAAATTTAATTTTTGAATAAAAACATGACTTGAATTAAAAATATAAATAGTGTTTAAAAGAGATTATCAATACTGATAACCTTGTTATAAACTTGTTGAAAAACCTTAGTGGATGTTGATATTTCTGTCTAGTGTCCATAAATGTTCTGCCTTAAATTTGTATTATTTCAATTGACTATTGAGTTTGATAAGTGTTTGTTATCTGCATATTTTTTCAGTTGTCTGTTTATAAATAAATAACAATAATAAAAAAAACATCGAATGCCTGATGTCCGATGAAGCTGTCACTCTGATATGTTTTGAAAGGATTAGTATTTTATTAAAAAAAATTACTACTTTTATGTTTCACAGGATCTCATCCAATACCATGCTATACAACCAGAAATACAAATATTCTAAAAATTCATTCGATATCCGCAATAGTTTGGGGAAAATGTGCTTTGGATTTCCGTGTCACAAAACATATTGATATCATATAAAGTCAACATGTTATTCTTTCATTTATATTTACGTCCTTTCAAAAAGGCCATTTTCCCCATCACGTCTAATGACATTACATTATATCATAAGCTTGGTATACAGTTAAAATACACATAAGTGTTGTTCTTTTTATTCATTTTAATTATTTAATCTATCCCCCCCCATTTTCTTCTATTTCCGCTGTTGTGATATTCTCAAGTATAATAGTATATGTCCTTCCTCTCTCTGATTTTGTGACAGGTTTAAGTTCAAGCCAGTAAAACTAGAGTCTCAGACAAAATATATGAAAAAATATGTTTGAAACAAAACATATCTTTCTCTGCAATACTTATATTTAAAAAAGAATATTAATGTTTGAATGAATATAATGGGGTTTGTTTTGTGTGTAATAATTTTATTTTATCGGAAAGCAGAAAAATTTCCGTGTTATTATACCGCTTTCCACAGATGTGGTACATTTGACCCGTTTCCTCTTAATATGAGCGGTAGATTAACAGTGGTGCAGCTGAAGGGTTCAATCTAATTCAAATAGTATCTTTAATCAAAACGATTTTTCTTTCATTCTGATTTCTCTAACCAAGTCTATCAACAGATTTCATAGTATATACGAACATGAAATTCATGTCGCTCTATTCCTAGGGAAACATTATTGTCATTGACGAAAAAGCTTTCAGAGCGAGTCAATCTCAGAAAAATAAAAGTTCAACTCAAGAAAGAAAAATCACAGCCAACAAAAGTTACTTACCAGATTTTAACAAATTAACGGAAAAAAGCCAAACAAAGAAAAAAATGTTGTAGACACACAAATCAACTCAAATTTACATGTATGTAGTCATTTTGTACAAAGGTACTTTTGAGAAAAGTACGTACATGTACATAAGCCATAAGAATTAATTTTTGTTATAATAATTGCATTTTATATGTTTTATAAAGTTATTGTTATAGCATGGTTCTTCTCGTCTCAATATTCCTCTAAATATATAAGGACAAAATGACAAGATTAAAATGTTCACTGAGATCTTCTGAGAAACCATTTGAAGGTCACCAGATTTGATCACGTGTTCAACATTATTATTTATCTTTTAATTTATTGATAAGTCGTAAAAGCACAAATGATAACATACAGTGAAATATTATATTGCATGAATGATGAAAAATGCTATTCGTTATTCGCTAACATTTTAAGAGAAGCAATTAAACATCACTTTCACAGCCTAATCATTTGACATCAAATGAAAAAAAGCCTAGTCAAAAATTAGAAACAAGCACCAGGAGGTGGCATAAATATACAATTCCTGTTTAATGTCCTTGTAAAACAATATTTGTAAATGCTAAATGTACATGTATACGAGGAATAGTTGTTATTATAACTAAAACAATATGCAGGTGTCTTTCTTTTTTGTGTTAGTGCTTCAAATACGTAAGTTTAAATAGATAGCATGCTGTATATATATATTAATTATCTAAGATCTTGATATGATAAGGTATGTTACTTCAAATAATCAATTTTGAAATTGAAGGTTGCGGATACAATAAGCTTATTGTATCAAAGAACATATCTGGTATCAGGGGTAGTTTGACCTCTCCTGGTTACCCTGGTAACTATCCAAACAACGTCAGCTACACATGGACTCTGGATACTGGACATGAGAAAGCAACTGTCGACTTTACCTTTGATGTATTTGATATTGATAAGTATCACAGTTACCTTTCCCGCTGCGCTGATTTCTTGGAGGTAAGGTATCTGTTTGCAACCTTCGATAAACTAGTTTGAAATCACTATATAAGTTCATATAAGTAATAGCTTACCTGACAGCCACTCTTTTTATTTAAATCTGATTATTCTTTTGCTGTCGAAATAAAATTGTTGCAGTTAATTATCCATGAATTCATTTTATCAAACAGATCTCTCTTTTCTTTTCATCGAATTCATTTTGTTTTCAAATTTTAATTATTATAATATTCATTTTACAACCTTTCTGCATCAATTTCACGCTCAGTGATAAATTTATGAACGAAAATTTACTGAGTAATTTTCACAAATATTTTTTTCTTAATCATAATGAATACAAAAAAAACATTGACACAAACATTTTTTTAATAGCATAAATATATGTTATATTTTTGTTCATGTGCTTTTAAAAAACACAACAGGTTTTAAATAAACTAATATCTATCTATAAGATAACAGAAATAGATCCGTGCTGTTTCACCCCTATACACAGATGTGGTCAGTTCAGCCCTTTTCCTTTGACTGTGAGGGGTAGATTGATAAGGATCAATTTTGTCTCTGATGGACGCCATACAGCGAGAGGGTTTAGTCTAGCATGGATAGGTAAAGTAAAAAAAAAACTTTCTTGTAATTTCTTAACTAATAAACTTTAAAGTATTTTCCTATTAATTTTATAACTAATTTTCTATCTCAGTCAGTCGACCAGCATCAATGAAGATTACTACACAAGCAACACCATCCACCACAACAACACAAAAGTCTACTACAAGAACAACAAAACCCCCTGAACTAACAACAATTACCCCCAGAAAAGAAACCAAATTCACTACAAGAACAATATTTATCGACACTACAACTCAAACAACAAAAATGCAAAGAGAAACAACATTGAGAACAACAGCACAAAAATCAACAGCTATTTTCTATAGCACCAAAAAAGGTATCTATACCTTAATATCTACATTTCCAAATAATTTCCTTAAAATTTTTTGCAATTAGGAAGACTGTTCATTTTCTCATTACGTTCAATGGATGAGCATTTTAAATATCTCTATTGTTACGTCATAATACCGCACTTGACGTCAAGACTATATTGCAAACTAAGTGTTCTGAAAATAACAGCTGATTGGCATACATTTTGTTGCAAATTATCAGAAAGGTTATGTAAATATAAGATATAAGTTTTAAAACTTAACAGGTATATGAATTATAACACTTCATGCTAACGCTCTTCATGAAATGTGCTGGTGTGAAACGTAGTAGTTCATAAACTCATGAATCTTCAAAAATTAAATTCATTTCTTGAATAAATTGTTTTATGTCCTTTTTATCGTAAAAATCTTATGACTTAGCTTAAGATTAATAAAATTCCTTATCACTCTCTTACATAATAGTATTTGTTATCCCTTTAAAATTTATTCCTATACAAATTTATAAAAAAGAAGTCCAACATTTCTAATGTTTTGCTGAGCGGACATTGGAAAATCGATGTTGGGCCACTGAGTGAGATGTTGGACCGGTCGATGAGATGTTGAACCGCTTACTTCACAGAATGGGTGGCACTGAAGTTACATTACGGAAGACAATACAAATATATGTTGGTAAAAAATAAAATGAAAGGTATAACAAAACATTTGTTGACTGAGTTCTCGGGCAAAATGCGTTTTGTCGAACCTCGAACCAATGCAAACTGTCTGCCTTAGACCTATATGTCTCAGGCAGACAGTTTAGTTCTTTGGTCCGACAAAACGCATACCGCCCACGAACTCAGTCAATAAATATATATTATTTTCCTTTCATATATTTTTTTACAATGTTGTTTGATGAATTACAAAAGTAAGGTTTTCCTTAATCAATTTCAACGAAGATATCCGTAAGAGATACATGTAGGGACTCTTTATCTTAATCATAAAAGTTTTGTGAAAAGGATCACTGATTTATTTTCATTTCATTTAATGTTGGTTGCTTTAGATAAAACGACAAGGATCTGCCTAGTACAACAGCGGACTTTTGCCTTACCTAGATATGTATATATTATATTTTATCAGCAACAACGAAAATAAATCTGAAGACAACACCGACTGTACTGGCAAAAAAGATATCAATAATGAAGGAAACACCCCCAGAGAGCGAAACATTCGATCCCAGTTTAAGGAGTACGAATCAGCTGACAACAAAATTAGAAAATAGACATATTCCAACAAACAACAAAACAACGACTATCCAGAATACAGGTACATATTTAGGAAATAAACAACGTTATTCAGCAATGCTTTGCTGGCATATTCCATGAAGCGTTCAAGTGGGGCATGCATGAAAGAATGCCTCAAAAGCTTTTGCTATTCACAAGACCATGTTCACCGAAAAATCATAGAATATTACTTAAATTTGCATTTCTGTGATGTTTTCAAGAGTATCAATGGAAATCCTGCCTAAAAAGGGGCACGGGTGGTTGTCATATCTGAAGAAAATCAGAAGACCAAACTCATTATTATCCCACCTTATCTCGCATAAATCACATACAAAATAATATTTACTTCTAAAACACAGTTTTCTGGATACAATAGGTGTCGCCTTAACTTTTTGTTTTAATGCAGTTGTAATGCGTCATCATAATCTACACTCTCGGAGAAAATTAACAAATAACAATATTAATTTATGAAAAGAGAATTTTTTTCGATTGATTTTAAGTAAAGAATGATTTTCTAACGTAAATTCTTTTAAAGACTTCAATTTGATCTTGAAAATGATGCATTTTAACAAGATTTTTTACTTTAAATATGAAATAGATAGAGATCTGTCTAATTTCTTAAAATTCTTACTATGCAATTATACAAACTGATTTTTATATAGATTATTATATATATCATATATATAATTATTATATATATCATATATATAAATGTACTTTCAAATGTGTTCTGTAAATGGGGTAGTTTGTGCTGCACCTGACCAGTACAGGAAAAGGATGAATTATGGCAGAAGTTGCTTTCATCGTGCTATGAATGAAACTAATGCATGCAGGTTCATAGAGAGGGAAAACAGGCAGTATGAAAATATACAATTATGAAAATATATTTAAGAAAGTTTTCTATTCTGAAATCGAAATTATCTGTCAGTCAAATAAATGAAGATAATAAAGAGTAATCCGGATCAAAGTCCATTAAAGAATACAGTTCAGGAGCAGAGCATACACGGGAATCTAAAACATCAGAGCAGATGAAGTAATAGGTGTCATGAAAGAGTGAGCATCTCCTGTCGAACAGTCACACCCGAAGTGTGTTCCTTATCATGATCGGGAAATGAATGAAAAATCCGTCAACAATTCAGTGTGTATATAGTGGACTAAAAATCAGTACGAGAAATTTAACGTCAGTCAGCATTTGACTCTTGAAATGATTGATGTCTTTGCTGACAAGATCAATGTATCGACAAATGAACAAAATGATGACTTTAAACGAAACTGCTGATATTTTTGTTTCGTGAACTTGGTTATAAATAATTTACCTCGTTATAAAAATTGTACATACGTAGAGCATCAGGTGAGGAAGGTTTATTGCTGCATTAGTAAGGGATGTTGAAGATTAAAAAGTTCAAGTCATCAGGTTTATCATAAAGTTGTGTTGTTAGATTACTATTTGGTCTTTAAGTAGTAAAATATTCAAATACGAAACTGGTGTGTCAGACTGTGTGGTATCTTTTTTCAAACTTGTAATGTTACTAGTAAGAACAACACATGATTTCGCTTTGGATGCAAATCTATGACTATTTCATACATAGATAAACAAAGATACAAAATGGCAGAGTTAATATGATATCCTGGGAAACATTTGACCGGTGAGCGATACAGTTAAAGATTACAAAGCAATTGAAGTTTAAAGCATTCAGAGTTCAGTATCAGCAAATATAAACAAATTGCTCGGTTCTGTTTATCATAAACGTTTGCACTTAACATTACATCACTCCTTTTGTTTGAAATAGAATTAAATCCCAAATGAATTAAAATAGGAATCAAAATAAAGATAAACAGACACAACACTTTTGTCTAATTCTAAGTAGATATAAACACAGTCACAGGTAATATTTCTATTAATACACTGTTCTTGTCACTTATTCACTAATGGTAACAATTTACACGCGTAATGGTGTTTTAAATTACATTTTTTTCAATAAGTCTTTTAGGCGCGCGGATTTCTTTCTGAGGACGGCTGGGTCACTCACACGGAGAGTTATCTGTCTTCACGGGTACGTATTTCAACGTCAACTTCGAGTTCCTCATCCTGATCTGCCTTATCTTCTAACTTTTTGAAGTGCAACGCGTTTCTTATAATTGTCTTCTCATTATTCCCGATGGTGGACATAGTATTTTTAGTCTTTAAAATTTCATGTGGTTTTGAATCAAATGGGGTTTACAGTTTAATTTTTTTTATTGTTATACCAAAACATTGTCTCCTACTCCAAAATCTATTTCCTTTACCCGAGAATAGTGATTGCATGTTGTTTCATATTTAATTTAGCTTTAAGATCATTTTCCTCCGTTTCCGTGTGGATTTCGTATTTCCCTCATCTGTTTTCGTTAAGAGCTTCTACATCCATCTTGGTCCTGATTTTCCGGTGAATAAAGCTTCGAATGGAGATACTTTGTTCGACAATGAGGTGTAGCTCTGTAGTTCCTTAGAAATGTAAAAATTTCTTTTTTCAAAATTTTATGCTCCACATTAGCTGCTTTGATTGTTTTCTCAATTGTTCTCATTAAACTTTTGGATTCTGCATTTGCTTTAGGCCATAAAGGAGCAATTTTTCTGTGAGAAAATCCTAAGTATTCCGAATACTAGTGAAATTCTGTTCCGTTAAACGGAGGTCCGTTGTCAGTTTTCAGAACCTTTGGTGTTCCAAACTCCGCAAATAGTTTGTCTAACCTAGGAATAACAGCTTTTGCTGACGTAGACTTAAGAAAATGCACTATTGGGTATCTAGAGTACTCATTCATAATAACCATGAGATAATCTCCCGAGGGAAATGGTCTACAAAAATCCTTTGACAATTCCGTCCAGGGTCCACTTGGTAAAGGTGGAATCTTAAACGGCTCGAGATGTTTTGTTTCTGTCGTAACTTGGCAAGGTAAACAACCCTTTAATGTCGATTCAACTTGTTTATCAATGCCCAGAAATCAAACATTTTCCCTTAGCAACGACTTCGTATCTACGATACCTTGATGTCCTTCGTGTGCTAAACTTATTATGTGTTTTCTGAGTGAGTGTGGAACAAACAGTTTGTCCTTTCGGTAAACTATCACAGAATCCGAAACAGTCAATTCATCCTTCAATTATATACAGATTGCCAGTCTGGTCGGGTTGATTTTTTGAAATCAGACCATGATCCACTCCTCACTGTATTTCGAATACTGGTATCAGTACATCGTTGTCAGAAGCCTTCTGAATTTCATCCAGAGTCATTGATTTCGGGATATTTGTCTGGACTACAAAATTGGTGCAACTTTCAACAGAGAACGATTTTTCATTTCCTTGACGAATTGGGTGACGTGAGATATAGTCACTTTCCAGGTTTGTATTTTATGGCGAAATCATACGGCTATAGTCTCAATGCCCATCTTTCAATTCTGGCAAGCGGTTTTGATGTTGGGTTCCCAAATATTAATTCCAATGGCTTATGACTAGTTACAAGTTCAAATGTGTTTCCAAGAAGATAAAGGTGAAAATGTTCTCAACTCCAGACAATTGAAAGGGCTTCATGTTCTGTCTAATAGTATCGTTTTTCCACTAGAGAAAGCGTTTTACTTCCATAGGAAATAACTTTCAGGTTGCCATTTCCATCAATTTGAGTAAGGATAGCTCCTAGTCCGATAGGACTTGCGTCGACAATGAGTTCTGTGCGTCTTGAAGGGTCAAAATAGGATATTACTGCACTACTGGTTAATGCATCCTTAATATTCTGCATCGCCTGTTCATGTTTCTTTTCCCAAGTCCATTTCCATTGTTGATTCTTTTTGGTCAGTTCACATAGAGGTTGTGATATTGTGGCGAAGTCCTTGATGAATCGTGCACAGTAGTTAGCAATGCCAAGGAAACTGGATTGCTTCAACGTTCTTGGGGTCAGCTGATATCCCATTTTCAGAGAAAATAAATCCAAAGAATACACACCTATCTTTGTTCAGCGTAAGGTTTTTTTTTCTGTTTTAAGAGCAACTAATTGTCGTGTTCCTCCTGGGATTTGCCATACACAATAATATAATAACTTATATTGCGTGCTCCAGGCATGCCTTCAATAGTTTGTTGTATGTCTGCCTAGAAAACTTCAGCTACCAAATTTACTCCAAAAAGCCTTTTGTAGCGAAACAGTCCAGCATGTGATGAAAATGTTGTGATATATCTCGATTCTGGAACTAACTCAAGTTGGTGATAGCCTTTGTTTATGTCCATTTTTAGAATATCTTAGCTCAATTCAAATCAATAACAAGTTCATCGATTGTAGGCATGACATGGCGTTCTCTCAGTATAGCTCTGTTAGCTCTTCTCATGTCAATACAAACTCTCACTTGGTCAGGAATTTAGGTTTTGGAGCTACTAAAATTGGTGACACCCACGGAGTCGGTCCATCAACTTTTTCTATGACGTCCATTTCTTCCATATCTTTAGCTCTCGTTCTAATTTCTTTCGTCAATGAAACTGAATTCTGCGATGTGGTTGCGTAACGAGCTTTACTGTTTCGTCAATGTGAAGTTTCACTTTAAAGTCTTTCAGTTTTCCTCTCCCCTCAAATCGATCAGCAAACCTTGCTAATATAACAGATTGGTCAGTATTTCAATTTTGTTCTACAGCATTCATTGTAATCGAAATAAGTCCATGCTTTTGTGCGTCAGCGCAGCTAAGTAAACATCCACTCGCACTCTTCACTTCAAGAATTTCAATGTCGATAATCCTGAACTTAGATTCTATTTCAGCTCGAAATTTACCTATTATCGGTAACGCTGCTTTAGTTCCGTTAGCATGAACTTTAGCATTTGATTTTGACAACTTAATTGGTTTCTTGCGACTTACTCTTTCAAACGTCGACTCATCGATGACAGTAACAATTGCTTCGGAATCCACCAGCATGTCAACTTTCATCCCATTTATTTCGACATTTGCAATAGGCAAAGACTTTGTTGCATTAAGTTGGAAAGAAAATGACATTGGAAATGAAACAACACTATTCTCGGGCAAAGGATATCGATGTTGCTGCATTAAGTTGTAATCCAAAAGCATATTCTTTGGTTTGGGTGTGTGTAAATTTCTTATCCAAATTGTTTGCAAAATATCCAATTTTCTTCTTTGATACACGTTTGTCCTGTGTGGGCTTTCCTTTCCACAATTGCGACACTTATTTGTTGATTCCTGTTTCCTGGCTTAGACTTATACTGCTTTGCAAAATGTCCGATTTTCTTGCATTTGATACACGCTTTGTCCTTTGCTGGGCACGGTCTATTTTTATGTGGCCATTGCTTTCCACAATTGCGACACTTATTTGTTGATTCCCTTTGTTTTCTTTGCTTACACGAATTCATTTTCCTGTTTGCCACAGCATTTATGATGTCCATTATTTCACCTGATCGTTTTTTAGCTTGTCTAAATTTGTATATTTAAGGAGGCTTGGATTTTTCGACTTCATAAAGTGATCTTTCGCTGAATCTAGAATTTGTTGGAGAGTTAAGTCAGGTTTACGCAGCGCTTTGCGTCTAAGACGACTTGACTCACATCCTTGAATAATTTTTGATTTTATTTCCCTATCTACATCTTCGAACTCACAGTTTTCTGCCAATTGTTGCAGTCTTGTATGATAGGAATCCATTTCACCTGATTGTTGTTTAGCCTGTCTAAATTAGTATATTTGGAATTCAAGGTTTTTCTTTTGGTTGAAGGGCTCTGTCAGTTTTGTCTTTGCTGCATCATAATCATTTGGCCCACCTGTGTCATCAAGAGTGTCGAAGATGTTGTAAACATCATCTTCTCCATAGTGTAAGAGCATTGCCTTTTTGCGATCATTCCTGGTAATTCCCATAGCAAGGATGAAATTTTCAAATCGCTGGATCCATTTTTCAAACGCTGTCCTATTGAACTTTGATCTGAAAAATCAAACTTCGGAAATGGGGGAAATCTAGTAGCCATTATTGATATTTCTCGGTCAAAATATTAACAACCGCTCAAACACTATGTAAAAATTTTATATCCTCGAGGCCAATGTAATGTTGCTAGTTTCACATGATTTCGCTTTGGATGCAAATCTATTCATGCATAGATTACATGGATAAACAAAGATACAAAATATCCTGGGAAAGTATAAACATTTGGCAAGTGAGCGATAGAGTTAAAGATTAAAGCAATTGATGTCAAAAGTAGTCAGAGTTCAGCATCATCAATGATAAACAAACTGCTCGGTTCTGTTTATCATAAACGTTTGCACGAAAACATTACAAAACTCAATGGAATATATCGTATCGACATAAGAATGGAAATAAACGTTGTTAACTGGCAGTACATTGTCAAATATCAAAATGTCAAGTTTAATCCGTTGCCGAAATTCAATAAAAATGCTGAGAACATGAAAATCTTAAGTGCAGAGATATTGAGTATGATATTTAACCCCGAATCCTTAAGAAAGGTCAAAGATTTTCTGACAACATGCTGACATCACAAGGTAAATAGGTTTATAAGAAATGATGTTTTCTTTTTAGCGAGCGCAGCCAGCGTCGCTAAGCAACGCTTGCGAAGCGAGCTCAATAGACTACCATGTAAGAACAGAGAAAATTCAAAATGAAATCTTTACATACGTCAGGCAAATTTCTCTGTGTAACATTCCCAGAATTCCTATTTTTACCAAATGTCCTTTGCGCGAATAAATAATAACGTAAAGCATAAAAGGCTTTCTGTTTGTAAAATCCTTCAAAGAAACAAAAAAAATAACTCTGCGATGTTTTTCGATCATATTGCACTAGTTATATAGGCCCCTAGTTTCAATCAGACGCTCGTCTGTCTCCGTAAGTTCGGACGAGCTCAGTGACGTCTTTTGACGTCACAGCTGGTCGAGATGTCTCGTGCAGCTTGATGTTTGAAGTGACTGATTAATTTTTCAAGTGTTCTTTGTTGTAGAATTGCGCACGCCCCGACGTTCACACCGTAAAACATATTAGTTAGATAACAAAATGGGGTTAGCTTTTAAAATGAACATTAAATTTCCTGGAGTTTAGATAGCAATATGAAATACTTGATATTAATGTGTATCTCTTGTTTTTTTGTTTGTTTTTGTTTTTGTTTTGTTTTGTTTTTTTTTTTTTTGTTCTTGTTGTTGCTGTTGATATTTTGAATTTGAAATATTAACAACGCAAAAGGATTTATTTTTCAAATCATTTGTTTCCTTTTTGTTTCATTTTGATACAGCATATGACTGCAATTATCATAAAGCTTACATTCATTTGTTTTAGAAGTTTCCATTCTTTTAGTTGAGTAAGAATATGTATATTTTAATTTCAATGAAATTATGTTAATTATAACATAAATCATCGAAAGCAAAAGATAATGTGCATAATTGTCATTCTACCGGGTATATTCACATTGTTTTTAAAATGTTATTGAATGTTTAATGAATTGTGATATAAAGGATAAAAAAGTTAATTTTAAAGATTGTATACGGAACTGCAACATTTGAATATTAGTGAAAGAGATTTTATTACCCGATCAGAGAACTGACATACATTTAGCTTACATTCATTTGTTTTAGTAAATCTTCAATTCCTTTAAGTTGATAAAACTATTGCTCATCGTATAATTATGTATAATCCTTTCCCATTAACGATTAAAACCACTTCATCTCCCAAAATTATCACAGATTTGAAAAAAAAATTCCAAGAGTTATTAAATCTTTGCTTTGAATTTGCTCTCGTGTAAATTGAAAATATATTTTGATACAAGAACTATCTGAATACGCATCGATCAAACTACGTGAAAAGCTTTTTATAAATCGAGTGATATCTGTAAAATGATAGCATATGTTCTACCAGAGTCTCAAATGGTACCTACATACAAAACAGAGTTCTGCTTTAGGAAGACCTAAGAAGATCCGAAATTATAATTATTTTGTCGCCATTATACACAGAAAAAAATGATTTTCATATGTTGAAATTTATGCGATAAAAAGAACTGGAACTATACTATACATAAGGATTCAGAGAAACATTCGATCCATATTCCGAATCCTTGATCGATGTCTGAAACCCATGGAGTTCAGCCACCAGGCTGGTGCAGATCACAAAAAAAAATAAAATAAAATTGAATTAAATTAAAACAATCGTAGCGTTTTTCTTAAACTTAATATACTTGTATTTCTCTGCTGCTCTCCCCTTTTTCATATTTCACTACTTATAATAACTTACTTATAGTGAAGCACTTGCACTCAAACTCTCCAAATTACCCTTATTCCCTTGTCCATTTTTTTTTTCATTCTTCGCGAATCCATTTTAGACAGGCTTTGCTGAAAGCAAAGTCCTTGCTATGGTGGCAGATCGATATCTTTTTATATAAATAGCAATCAAAACAAAAAACCAAACAGGTTTACTTAATATTGAGTTGCTTTAAAAATGTGCATTGAAATTTTTTTAATTCCCTCTACTGTAATAACCTGCACGTTCAAACAGAAATTTGAAGCTTTTAGAATTATGCTGACATACACATGGATAAATTTTCTGATTTATATTAATGCTAACTTTCAGATGGCTACATTTTCGTTCTTCAATTAACATTGAATGGACTGTTCCTCATTACCATAGTTTTACTTGGATTGAAATTAAAGACAACGATGTGAGTAGTGGAGAAAAGGTAATTATGCATAAATTGTTCAATAAGATGTATACATGGTATAGTTCATAATATATGTTTTAAATTTAAAAAAAAAGCTTTCTAATTTTGAATTGAAACACAATTATTTTACTGGATGAAAAATAGATCCAAAGATATTACAAACATTTCAATTAAATGCAACTATTTTTTTCATTATTGATAGGACTTGTAATATTTACACACTAACCCTACATGTATCCAGTTGAGAAGTTTCTTAAAATAATAAAGTTAAATCAAAATCTTTTTCAGCCAGCAACGACGAGAATCTCCGCACATATACACAAGTGCCATTGAAACATCAATTCAAGAAAGTGAACATTACCTTAAAGTCAAAGGAATGTTTTCACAGAAGGAAGGAAAAGTCACAACCATTGAGGAGTCTTCAATTGATTATGTTGAACCCATTCCTGTTTATGTTGATGTTATTTAACGAGGCCGAGTCTAATTCGAGTGCGCACGACTTTGCACAGCTTTTTAATTTCATACAGAAAATTGTGCGACATAACATCTTTGCCAAATATTTTTATTTACATAGAAAATTAACATTATTTGTAAACTCTACTGGTATGAAAATGTGATTTTTCGACAACAATTAGGAAAAATCGCTGAAATGGCTCTAGCGACGTCACAATTTTCGGAATTTGTAAGCAATGCATGACGCTGAAAAATAACGCATGACTCGCTTGTATGTTCAAGACGTCCATGGAACTTAACATAAAAACTGATGACAGATCATCCAAAGAAATTTACTAGCAATCTAAACATTGCTATTTTTACGGGAAAAATGATAAGCGCCGATACTTCATCTGCACTGATATTTATTAATACCATAATATGGCAAATTTAGAGCTATTGGGCTTTGAAGAAAAATGAACTTAATAATTAATTCCTAAACCAACGTAGATGGTGAATTATTTTTTTTATTTCACAATTTGGTGACTTTTTACTATAACTTTCATATACTAGAATGAAATAGAAATCCCTAGGGCAGCAATACCAAAAAATACGGAAAAATGTGATAATTTGACGCTTTTTAAAAAAAATTCCCATACGATCCAATAGTAAAATTTGACAACTTTTGAGATGACCCCCTAGGAAATCGGAGTGGTGAACATTCGATTTTTTAATCTTAAAACAATAAATATAACAGTAAAAATTAATTATCAAAAAATTATCAAAATCCCTAGGGCAGAAATAATTAGACAGGGCATCGTTAATCCATGTATTAATACCCATATATTATCGTAGATTTTTTCCCCTAGGATATTCTATTTTATTTGTTTAATTCATATATTATTCCTTTATAATGAAGTTTCATTTAACTATCGTTGCACATAGCGTCTTAAGCGCCATTTTATTTGATCCTTGAAATGATGAACTCAGAGGGTTTTTTTTACACTCCAGTCAAGCTACTGACAAATAAATTGATTAAACAATTATTTGAAGATTGTGTTTGAATTTTGAATGATATATTTTATACAAGTAAATAGATATGCCTTTCATTTCACGTGGGTTGTTCGAAAAGTTCGTGGACAACTGTCATATATTTTTTAGATGACGTCATATGTTACATAAATTTGGTAGAAATATTTTAACAATAAATTCAAATGATTAAAATTAATTTTTTTATCCAAAATATTCCGATTTAGTATTTTAAAAATGCAAAAATCGGATCGTGGAGCAGGTCAAAATTTAGTAAGTTACAGACAATGCACTAAATAATGCCTGTAGTCATATTCTATGTAAAATGGAGAAAATGACCAAGAAATTTAAATTAATAATTGTTACATGAATTTGTTTACCAAATTATGACTTTTTATTTTGCTTTGTTGCAAAGAAATTAACTTGAGAAGATAGATAGTCCTCAATGAAAACGACAAAAACGAATTACACAGCGAGAACAATTCCTAAAAAATAAATAATAATTAGAAAAAGGATTTAACGAAAGGGCACTGGTTTATACTGTGTGAAATGTATAGGGATAGTATTTTTAGAAATTCTTGACGCTATGTTTTGACGTTTTTTTTGGGGGTTTTTTTTTTGCCGTTAAGTGTGCCCCGCGGGTACAAAGCATGTTGATTTTAAAATGAAGTAAATTGATTTCTGTTAAAACGAATGGAATGAACCTTCACACATTAACAAAACAAATATATTTACATATAATATTGTGTTGATTTTAAATTTCTAGTGAGTAATATAACAAAGATTGTCACCGTCCACGAACTTTTCGAACAACCTTCGTATATTTGATTTGGCTTTCTTTTTTTTTTTCGTTGTCTCCATCAGTTTCATAAATCTGTCTGATCATTCTATATGGGAGTTTAAAATACACAACTATTCGACTGAGATTGATTGATTGATTGTATATCGTTAAACGTCCCTCTCGAGAATTTTTCTCTCATATGGAGACGCCACCACTTGCCGGTGGTGATCTGCAAATTTTATCCTAAACTCGGCACTCAGGGCCATTGAGCAGTGAGGAATCTTTTTCGTGCCGGTTTATACGGTCCCATCCGAAGGACTGGTCCCCACGTCCCACAGTGGGATTCGAACCTGCGACGTAAGGATTGATTCCTTACTTTGCGACTCTAGAGCAGACGCTCTAACCACTGGTCCACGCGGGCGACTATTCGAATGAGAAAATTGAGCATCAACATACATTTAAAACTGTGAAATCTGAAAAGTTAATTCGGATATTAAACTAACAAATTATGAGAGATTAATACCAATTTATAAAATTCATTTATGCCTTCCATATGATAATAGTGCAAATTTAAAACCAAGTTTCCCGCAGCTCTGTTATTTTTCAGATTGAATGAAAAACCAAGAATGAGTATTGCTGTAAATATGTCATTTATCAATGACACAAATGAAACACATGAAATTTGGGAGATCCTGTGACTTTCTACAATTTGTTTCTACACCTTCTATTGGATCTCCCAACAATTAAAAGAACATCATGACAATACTCAAAAAACACAAATATATCAGACGTTTAAACTGAAAAATAAGGTGGCAACACAACAATAGGCCACAAGACAAAAACATTATTAAATACATCCCATAGTAAACCTAAGGGACGGTTGTACGGGTTGGCGGAGGGTATGTTTTTCTTACAAAAAATGGTGTGTACAAATCTTGTTAGCTAACGACTAATCAACGCAAAACCCCAAAACCTGAGACTATGCATAACATAACGTCCTAGCTCCGAAACCTGACATATACATAAAATATACTACAATCATTATATTTTAATCACAGGAATTGAAAATTACATATGCATGCATAAATAATATTATTATCAATAAAAGTACAATGCGTACAACAACAACAATAATTAAAAAAATGATAAAATATCAAGCAATAATCAACCTTTTCTCAAAATGAAGACTTCGGGCAAATACTTTGCGAGACATTAGTCCGGGACATCACAACATCATAAACATTCAATAACGTATATGACATTTATAACGTCAATAACGTTATACGAAGAGCATTAGAGTTCAAAAGTCCATTAATCTCAAATTTTGAGACAAGGCAAACACGGACCTCTTAAACACGAGAGCACCCATATTCCGACCGGTCACATTAGGCGTGGGTTCCTTGTCAAGGTCAGAAAATAACAGAAAACTCTGTCTACAATTTAGTGTGTTGATTTGTTGTTTTGTTAACGTCTTTCTCGAGATTTTTTCATTCATGTTGAGACACCAACACTTGCCGGTGGAGAGCTGCAAACTTTGTCCTATACTACGCACTTACATGGCCATTGAGCAGGGATGGATCTTTTTTCGAGTCAGCACTACTGCGACAGGGGCCTCCATTTACTTGGTCTCGTCCGAAGGATTGGTCTCCACGTCTGACAGTGGGATTCGAACCCTCGACGTAAGGATCAAATCCTAAGTCCAGGACTATACAGCTGATGCTTTAACCGTGGTATCACGTTTGCAACAAATTAGGTGTGTAAATAATGGCAAAACAATATAAAAACGTCAGTCAGCATCTGATTTAATGATAGATCGAATTTGCTGACAAGGTTATTTTATCGACGAATTGAACTAGACTTCTGATATTCATGTTTAATCATATTGTTTGTTTATAGCATATCTCGCTTTAAAAATGGAAGTTTAGAATTAAGGACAGTTGATACAAACAAAAATGAATTCCTGTATTGGTAAATATTTTTTTCATCTATTTTGATTGTAAGTAATGTAAATCATACATTTATTTAATAGTATAAGACATTGTTAACTTTCTATGACTTCTATGACTTATGACTGAGTTCAACTTTTTACCTTTTTGCAGCCATCCGTCCCACGTTAAACATTAAAACCCCTATTACTCACCTATGACCCAACTATATTCCGTTTGGTGCTTAGGATAATTATATGTTTGGACATTTTTTTTTACTTTTACCTTTTGTAAATGAAAGGGCCCACATTGTTGCATGGGGAAAGATTTAACAACACATTCATCATTTTGTAAGAGAAACTAATTCTAAGTGTGTTTCTAGTTATTTCTAATCAAATTAAACCAGCATCTAGTTAACAGTTTTGTATAAAGATTTATTCAATTAGGTTGAGCGTTGTATTGTGTGAATCCATTGCTTATAAATTTCCCTTCAAATCTAAATAGTATGAGTTCAATTACTTCCTGAAAATATCCTTGCTTTATATTTTTCCGTGTTGATTTGGGTCGTGCACATATAACTTGAGAAGGAAAAAAGTTTTTATATAATTCTCATCTTAATATCCAGAAATATCATTAATAAGTATGATTTTATATAGGTTGTCATTAGGATCTGGATGCAGAACTTACAAAAAATCCCAGGAGAAAATAATAACATAAAAAAGTGGAATACTAATTATTTACTTAAATCAAGAATTTTGCTCAATATTAATATACGTGTTTGTTTGATTGTTAATTGAAGATCATATAAATTACAATCATTAAAATTCAGAATT